TGAGAGCCTCTTGCACAGCAAAGGTTTTTGTTGCAACAGAAGCAAGAGAGTTCCCGCCATTTGAATGCAAATTTGTGTTCCGCTATTGGCCAGTTCTAAATTATTCCTACGTGGTGGCTAGTAATTGGCTTGCTAGCCGTTTAAAATTTTGTGCGACTTCCGCCCAAGTCGGAGAACTTTGAGCACGCTGCAGAGTGCCTCTAAAGAGATCTGACTTGCAGCTGAGCTGATTGATAGACTGATCACCTATCGATTCTTCTCCCCGTCGCCGAGCGCAATCTTCGACGTACCCTTTCCCTGCCAGCTTAATTTGTGGACAGATTAGCTGGCCTCAGCCTTGCCAGCTGGAGCAACTCACATAGTTGTTCAAGCAACCGGACCACCTGTGTCGCGGCTACAGGTGGCGTAAGTAAAGTTTTTGCAACCAATAAGCTGTGTCTGCCTCTCCATTCACCAGCCCGCCCAAACGACCGAGTGATATTTGAATCATCTTGAGTCGGCTCCGGCCGTCTGAGACACACACCTCTTTACATCTCTTTGAAATCACTAGATAGTTTCTTTTCCAATACAACAGTCAGATCCCATTACATACAACCACATTTATTGGAAGTTATTGCAGCAAAGACAGAAAATAAAAGGTTGTAAAAGTTTAATCAGCTGGCATGAAATTTAAAACATTCTGCAAGCTGTTAAATGTATTTAGGTTAAAGTATAAAATGAATTACATTTCAAAGCATGGCAGAATGCTACTTATTGTATACATGAGTGTTAGATGCCTCTGATCTCTTGCTTAGCTTGTTGAATTCTCCTGGAAGTAACATGCTGTTGCTGTTTAAAAAGAAAATTATTTAGAACCTAGAACTGGGATCCTTGGTTGAATCATGGAATCCAGTAAACTCCCCTCTTTCAAGTTAGAGGAACACCGACAAAATACAGTTTACCACTTTCCTGTCACTATATGCATAACAACAACTTTTATTTAAGATCATAATTTGTGTTATATATTTTCTTTAACGATTTTGCTCTTTTAATCTGAAAATTAGGACTGTGTGTACATACAACAAGTTTTACTAATACTCTCTGTAAGGCTAAAAATGCATTTGAAGAATTTTTTTTTAAGGAATTCTAATCAACATGCAAATAAATGATCAGTGTTCCTGTTCTCTGCCACAGGAAGTTTCAGCTCCTATCTGTGGTATGAAACTACAGTCTTCAGTTTTTGAACAAGAAAAATGCAGACTACAGCCATAATCTACTTGACACCTTATGCCTATTTAAGGTATCAATGCTGCATGCATTTATTAAATTAATGTGTCAATTAGCTGTCAGAGCTCCATTCAGTGCAGCGAAAGTGCCTGGGGGGATAGGCAGTGGTCAGCTTTAACTTTCTTGAATTGTTTGCATCTTAAAATAGCCTTGGATGGCATTCACTTATTGCCAGGACACACCAGTACAGTGTGGAATTTATAGCCAATTATCACTGAACATAGTAGAGTTTTAGCTATGTGACATTTTCTCTAGCCTCACCCCAACATAATATAGGGATACGACCTACCCATTTTCATCCCTATGCACTGCCATTCTCAATGTTACCAGTAAAATAGGCTTCCACCAGTCTGGGATCTGACTGCCTTACTATGTATATCAAACAGATTAGATTGTTCAGGTTCTTTAGATAAACTGTGTCAAGTTAGAATGGTGTATGGCTGTAGTTAAATTAGCAATAGATGCCAAAGTGATAGATGCTTCATAAATATGAATGCTAGATTGCTAGGATTTAATGCATATGTCAAAAAATCTTAATAACCTTATTGAGGACTTTTCCTTTATTTCCTTCATTCTTTCTTTGGTTGCATTCAAGTTTGTTTTTTTAAATTTCTCCCCTAGATTTATAGATGTTATGGTCAGAAAGAACCATACAGTTAATCTTGTCTAACTTACTGTGACTGTACTGTTTGTTACATATGCCAAAGTACTTCACCCAGTAATTTCTGCAACAAGCCCAAATAATAAGATGTGTAAGAGCATGGCAGTGACCAACTTGATATTTTTTTACTCATGTTTTTTCCAAATGACCACAGTAGAATTAAAAAAGGAGCAAGTTGTGAGAGCAACTGCTAGTCACAGAGGTGTGTCACAGATGAGCAATTGTTGAAAATTTCAAATGATTAAAAGATGTGTGCATGTGTGTGATGGGTCACATTTATGGCATCAGGCAACTGCTACTAAAAGCATAGCAAAATATGGTTCTCTCTCTCTCTCTCTCTCCAAGAACCAAGGAAGTTGTAAAGATGCTCCAGATTCTAAGGATATAGGTTGTCAGTGATTGGTTTTCAGAAATTAATTGAGTGAAATTAACCACCCATCTAAAAGACTAAAAGAGGTAGTTTTGTTCCATTTTTAATTGTTCCATCAAATCACCTGTTTAGACCCTTGCTAGCTATTTACTCATCTCCTGATCCTTCTTCTTGCTTCCACAAGCAAGACTCTCTTTCCATAATTCACTTCCATTCTTGTTTTTATTTCTAAGACAGCAACAGTAAAATTCCCAGTCCCAAATTCTATGTATGGAATTACAAGAGTGACTGGCTAAAAGACAGGGTTTTACTAGATCACTTGACAAAGAAATCAATGGGAGATTTGTAGTTGAAAATTAACACAGGGCAGCAAGCAAAGCCACATTATCCATCGGATTTACCATTTCATAGGCTTCTTAGTGGAAAAGCAGGAGCTGGAAAAACTCTGCCTGAGGTTTTTATTTATATGGGGGAATAGTCAAAGAAGAAGGGAATGGAAGAAATGTATGGCTATTTAGATGGAACAAAGTGAGAAAAGTGGGGAAAAGCTCTTGCAGTTGAATTCTATTAAACTTCATGAAGCACTGCTATCCTAATCCTCATTTGTAGACCTAATGTGTGTCTACTCCTCTGGAGGATCACAACCCACTACTGCCTATTGCTTTGCCAGTTCGGAATCCTCAGGACCAATCAGTCAAACTAACCTTTACTAAAGGCAGTAGCACTACTTTGTCTATTGTCCTGATACTAGTAATTTAGATTTACAAAGTGATCACAATGGCTACTAGGCAAATCTTTCTATCTCACAAAACAAAAAATGAGAGATACATACAAACAGGGGAATAAGCAAGTACATTGGCACTAGGGAATCTTTATTTAAGACTCCAAAATATTTACCTTTTTAAATTTATTCTGCTTTCTAGAGTCAGATCATAAGCAAATCTCAGCTATTTAATTTCTCTGAAAGAGGCCACAAAATATTATTGATCAATCTACATGTGTTTGCAGTTTGCCAGACCCCTGTGCTTATATAACAGAGACATTCATTGAAGCACAGTTCAGATGTAAGCCCCATCCATACACAGTGTACAATTAGAAGTTAGACTAAAGATTTAAACAATTCTTGGTTTGCTTTTCAGCAGAGGATCCCTCTCATTGCTTCCACCAAAAAGAACTGCTTTGAAATTGCTGAAGTAAACGCTCAGTACTTCACGGTTCACGGCTTGTCCTGTACTTCTTTCAATAGGTTTATACTTTTTGTATTTCCTGAAAGAAACATTGTTCAAGTTTGTTACTAAAAGGGTATTTTAGTGTTTGTACCTTTTAAGATTCAACTAATGAATACAAAGATATATCTCTACACTGTATTAGACCACAATAGGGAGCACCGCCATCAAAAAAAACTCTGCCATTTGCTCCCACTCTGTGGTGTTTCATGATGGAAAAAATGCCATTAGAGTTTAGTGTCACTATAATGAGCACACCAAGTCTGAGCACATCAGAGCTGTGCTGGGTGTGTTTGACAAAGTAGCAGTATGGCATTTTTTGGCAATCAGCATGTGTGAAGTGGGAGCTTGTTTGTGCTTATGTATTCAAATTTTAAAGAATTTATTGGGAAATACTGATGACTTTGGGAGAATTGTAGCCAGTAAATTTGGTGAAATATTTGTGGAAAGCAAACAAATATGGATATAAACATAGCTGAAATAAATTCTCATTTTTACACAACAGAATATCTATACAATTTTTTTTCATTGTTCTGATCAGCTTACTCCTATTAGACCCAACAACTTACTTGTAAAGAAGGAAAGTCACAATGACCACAAACACCACCAAGAAACCAAAGGAGATCAAGACACCTTGTGCTGTCCTGGAAGATGATCCTGGAATTTGAACACAAAATGTTGAAAATATTAGCTTTGTTATCTTTTCTGTAAGATACAACTGTCTAGCATCATTGTTCTTTCTGACAGGCAGATTTAAAAGGTGCAGCATATTTAATACTTCTTTCATGCTAAGCACTTTAAAAAAAGAAGAGGAGAATATGAAAACGTTTACAGACTGTAGAATCAAATCCTTTCCTGATGTTAATGGAGCTCTGAATCTGACTTTGTATGTTAGACACATGAGATATACTGCTTGCTGTCTCTTAACATACAATTACTTTACAGAATGAAAATATATTGAAGGGCTAGCTGATATCCCTCAGAATTTAATTTGCTTCAAAGGGACTTAAAACCAGATTCATAGACATTTGAGAGTGCAGCTGACTTTCTGAATATGATTTTCAGAAATTCCTAAATGTCTGTCTGCATCTTGAAAAGCTTATCTACCTTTAAAAAAAACTGGCAGAGTGCCCTCAGGTGGTTAATTGGCCTAGAGGTATTAAAGTGAATAGGGAGGTGAAGACACTGAATTAGGAAAGAAACAAAGAATGGTTTATTGGTCAGGGTATAAGCCTAACAGTTGGAAGACCTGGGTTCAGCTCCTGGTTCTACCACAGGTCTCTTAGATGGAGCTGGACAAACCAGTGTCTGTTAAAATCCTATTTCACCTTCACATACATAAGTGGTACTTAGGAAGTGCTACTAACCATAAGCCATATAACCAGAATCTTTGGCACATAGGATCCCTCTATGCTTTATCAGCATTATGCAATTAACTGGCTAATTGCACAATTAATTTAAACCAGTTACACATACTAATTATGCCTTACAAAGTTCAAGCACCCTGGGCGAGGGCCCTAACCACAAAGCTATTGCACTAAAAGGTAGGTGGGAGGGTCCTCCTCCCCCTCTCATTTCTTACCAATCCCAGGAAATGTATATGCAAGGTGACTCTATTCTACCACAAGTAGAAATGAACTCCCAACTGTCATAAGTGCCAAAAAAACCTGCTGCTAGACAGCTACGTTAGTGATATATAGACATATGAAAGTAAAAGAGGATTTAGCTCTTAAGCTGTCTACATTGCTAGTTAGAGTCAACCTTCTTCCTGGGGTATATTTTGCATTTACCTGGTCCCTGCAGGCTCAGAGCACAGAAAGTCTGATATCCCACAAATCATTTTTCCTAAGTTCCTAACTATGGTTTGTCTGCACCTGACTCGTGTCTCAGCTGCCCAAAAATAGAGCTACGCACAGAAGGAGAGACAAACCATCTGCCCACTGATTCCTAGAAAGGCTCTGCTTGAGGAGCAAGAAACAAAGTGCAGATACTTCAAGGTACAAAACAGATAGGGGAAGGTGGCTTACACATCCTTTCCATTTGGACTCACCTTCATTTACAGATATCAGTGTGCTTGCGAGGGCTTGGCTTGTGTCATCACCCAATGTAATGTTTACACAGTAGGTTCCAGGCTCATTGAAGGCTCTTCTTATAGTCAATAAGCATTCATCAGTAATTTCAACAGACTCACACACCATATTCTGAGGCACCTGGCATGTGGGGTCAGAAACTGTTGTGCAAGCCTTTGTAGGAAGACTAGGGAAGTGAGGAAATAGCAAGAGAATGCATTTTGTCAGTGGATTCCTATTAGTTCAATTCATAGACTTTCTAGTTTTGACTCCCTACTCTCATACGCCAGTTTTATCACGGTTCCATTTCACTGGAATCCGTGATGTTCCACGGACATAAAACTTCTGTAACAAAGTACAGGCTCAGTCTTATTAGCCTTAATCTTCCATTAAATTAGCTGCTTGGCATATCATTCCCCATTTTCTGACTAAAGGAGTTTGTGTTCTTTCCACTTGGCTCCTGCAAGTGTACATCACCCCACAACTATGTTTGGCATTACCTATGCTTATACAGTATAAAATTACCAGTTGTTACACACATTTGTCAAAATCCAGAATGATCTTACCTAATCAGCTGATAAAATCCATTAAATTTAATGCAGTTCACCAACTGGAAAATGGAGATTTTTAGTTGCACTAGCACATGGAGCGGGAATGTCCTATCAGCTTGAGAATTATTTCTAAAACAGATGACTTTGCAGTTATGCTGCTAAAACTTCCTGGCAGCTTACAGAACCTTCAGGTCCATACACTTTCCAGGAACTAGGAATATGAATACAATACTCTTTCCAATCGAGGAATGATTTCAACAAGTGCTTATACAAATGTCGAAATAATATTTAGAACGAGGGCTTCCTCCTGTTTTCAGCAGGCCACTTTTTGATGTACTGTGAGGGCTAAAATTGTCTTTTACTAGCGTAACTTGGGGATGGGGAGGTGAGTCCTGGGCACTAATTCATAGGGATTGCCATTCTGGCTCTGTCTGTTTGGGGAACTTGCTGTGAGGCAGCAGCAGCCTGTACTAGTACCAACACTGCAGCAGCCCCTGCACGCTGAGGTCAGTGTTTACTTCCCCTCTTCTTCCAACCCCATGCCACCTAGGGTGCCAACATTTCAAATTACATTTCTGCTATCTTTGCCTAACAAACAGAGAATTGCTTCTGCTCACCAATAAGCTCTGTTATTTTACGTAGGCCTGTTATCTTAGTCTGAATCCCAAGAACCTGGTAATAGCTTCTCTTGACACTCTAGGCTTGCATTCTCTTTGGTTTCTATCAGCAGATAGAAGCAAACAGCAGTTACCAACTGTTGTTCATGCAGCTGCACAAGTATCCATGTAGCATCTAGTATCCGGTTACTTTTCAACAGAGGAGGTTTCCATTTATATACTTACCTCCCTTGGCAGGAAACAACGAAGTCAACCAGGGTGTTTGTAGCTTGGGCCACTGACATCAAGACACTTGTCATTTGAATAATATTTACCTCAAGGATTCCCTCTAAGGGAGGAAATAGACCATCAAGTTTTCAGGGTACTCAAAGACTACAAAAATTTGAAGATTTCACATTTAAAAGCTGCTAAGGCAGGTGAACAGATAGCACTCAGCTCAGGTCTCGTCTCTTTATAACCCTCTATCTTCCCAAAATTCCCTTTGAGAGAGAGTAGAAACTATAAAAGGGTTCCAGTGCATGTAATTTGCTTCCCATATTGGATTGTTGCCTTCTACCTTTTTTTTTAATTTTTTTTTTTTTTTTTTTTTTTTTTACAATTTATCACTACCTTATTTTAGTCATTATTTTAGAATTTAGTGACTGTATAGACCAGGGTGTAAAAACAAACAAACAAAACAAACTAAGCTAAACTAAAAAGCAAACAAAACACCCAACCCCTTCAACCAACCACAGCCAGCTAACTACATCAAATTGTAAGAAGCTAGGCCCAACCGTAAATAAAAAAGTTTTTAGGGTTCCATTTTATGAAGTTCACACAATAGAAGCCTGTCAATGAGATAAACAAGATGGGATTTACATGACCAGTTTTCCTATTCCTCACTTATTTATGTACTTACCTAAAATGGAGATAACAGCTTTGTAGTGTCCATATCTATAAATATGGCAGCCTCCATCAGGAGTGTATTCCATTACACTTGCACTGGTAGGAGAAGCCAGATTAGCAGATGGATTGGTAGTTACTGTTGGGTTGAGTGTGAGAAGATATTATTAGTTACATCTAAAGAGTATTTTGCAAAATACATGTTATGAAGGCAGAGTCAAAAGAGATTTATTTCTCTCATGCCACAGGGAAGGCAACTAAAATAATTTTTAAAATGTTTTTCCTCTGCAAATAAATGTAATAGAAAATGAACAGTGATACAAACTGCCCTCTAAGGATCATCTTCAAAACTTTAAGAAAAATCCTTTCCCTAGTATTCTGCAGAGCCATGCAAAAGAAGCAGTTTGGTGGGAAATTTAGAGCCCTTTTTAATCTCTTTCTTCATTTTCTTAATGTCTGAGAATATTAATCACAGATATTACACCCACCAGCAGATAATTTCACTCTTTGCAATCAGATCCAGTATGTGTTTATTGTGATACAGTGCATGGGTGGACCTGGGATTTTGGAAAGGGGGGGTGCAAATGGTGTGGTGCATCATTACATATAATACAACATGCATTCTTCTCCAGGTAAAAAGAAACCAGAAGCTTTACTAATAGGCTAAGAGCATATTTCTATGTTATTAATTTCAAGATTGAAAACAAATATAACATTACTGGAATTATACTAAAAAAAAAAACCCTCAACAAACTAGGCAAAAAATAAGCAAAAAATGTTGTGTTAGTTCTGTTGTCATTAAAATTAAATGTACACCTCTCTTAGATTCATTAAATCCAGCCTTCTTGAGCATCTTGACAATGTATGCAATGTTTCACTGAAAGTCATTTCCACACCTGGGTTTATGTTTACCTGAGTTACTGTTTCCAGACCTGAATTAATGTTTTTAGCTAGAGTCAAAAACAGTCTGCCGGACTGTGATAGAAACTACACAAAGAACAGCTACCAGACAGCTAGCAGGAGAAAGGCTGGCTTAATCAGTGGAACATCAAGATCATTAAAAATGAGAGGGGGCTGTTAACATGTGAAGAATCAAGAGTTTACAAGGAATCGGATAGATTATAATGAACCGTAAAGTCAAGTGACTCTCTTGCTGCTGCCTGAATAGAAATATTGCTGCCACTTTCAGGCAGCTGGTTTTAAACTTTGGATGGGCCAGGAATCAAAGAGGGGTGCAAGTGCATCACTGCACCTCTCTGGATCCACCCCTGATAAGGTATATAAAGTTTAGTACTTACCTTACTTTGATCTGTCTCTTGGTGTATATAATGTAGGCTTTTTAGTGTATGTTACCTATACAATATACCCCATTTATGGCCTATATCTTTGATACTCATTTTGGATATTTGTATGTATGTCTGAAAAAGTTATGTTCATCCCACATCAACCCAAATCATCGAATGACCTGCACTTGCTTCAATGGGTATTGAATCAAGCCGTAAATTCAATATGGCCATGTAGGGTATGTTCTAAATCCATTTGCCTGATTTAGAAACTCTGTACAGGGAAACCTATAAGAAGTTCTGACAACAATTAATTAAGTTTCTATCTAGAAGCAGGTGGTCAAATACCTTTTGGGGACATGACACCTACAACTTCTAGGGAAACCATAGGGCATCCAGACTAACAAAGTACTGGCTGCTGTGCCAGAACAAGGACATTTTAAGTCTTCAGCACGCAAGGGTTTAATTTTGTTGTCATTTATGTTCTAACTAAGTTAGAAGCCCAACAGTTCTGCTTATCCTAATGATTAGTGTAGCTATTCACTATTAGAGGATAGCAAATTAGTATAGCTAGTCAACTTTGAATGGCACTTGTTTTTACTTGTGTACGCATTCAAACAAACAGGTAGGCCAAAGTCATTGCTACCATCCCTTTATGCTGTCTTGTGCAAAGTGGACATAAAGCTGCCTTCAACAACCTCTAGAGAATTCTTTCTAGGCAAGGGGCATTGTTTGTATAGTACAGAGTTGCCACTGAAGTTCTAAGCCACTCTGATGTAGAAAACCATATTTGGATAGTGCACGACTGGCAGTCACCAATCTTGGGATGCTCTGGCTGACGAAACAAAACATTGAGACCATGGGCCACCAAGGGCAGCTTAAGGCAGGCCTGAGATGCAATGGGGTCAGCCATTATGGACAGAGATCCTGGATGCTGCTATCTATATATTTTGTTTATATTTCATAAAGAGTTGTTTTCCTTTATTTTCTACTTTCTGGGCATGCCTACATATGCTATTAGTGCGACGCAAACTCCAGTGCGGTTTACGCCGGAGTTTATTTCTTACAGGTGTAGCACCTACACATGCACCTGGGACCACAGTGCATTGAACTGAGGGGGAGCACCCCAGCTGGCAGGTGCCCAGGGGGTCATCTCGACAGCCCAGGGCTGCACCAACCTGGCCCAGCATGCTGCAGAGGGACTGGTGGGGGCATGAAGGTACTACAGTGCAGGGCTAGCCGGTAGGCAGCCTCTACACTGAATTACCCTGGTGCCCCATCCAGTCCTGTAAGCATGTACATGTGCTTTGTGGCCCACCAAATAACATCACCATAGGATAGTTTATATGCTGGGTGTTTATTAGTTCACTGTGGCCTAATAGGGCCACATGTGTAGACACAGGCTTTACTGTGAAGCTAATTAGTCATCTACACAGTAACTGTCTCTTGTAGACACACCCTGTGATAAATAACTTTTCCTTTTAAGAAAAAGGGGATTGGATGTGATCATTTAAAATGGAGCATGGAACTGCAGGCTACAGACAGACATTGAACTATTACTCTGATGAGAGGAGGCTTCAGGAGTGGAGGGTTATAAGGTGACCAAAGAGGCAAGTCCCTTCCTCAAATGTGAGAGACTGGCCATAAGAAATGTGTGTGAATATCAGTGGAAATTAATGATAATCAAACTGTAGTTATCAGAGAAAATAATGTACTAGGAAATTATTCTATAAATATACACAAGAGATACAAACTTACTAGCAGTATTGTTTGTAGTAGTAGTTGGAGTTTTTGTCCCTGTAAAAGATCATTTTGATAAGTAGCAGATCCAAAAATATGACAGCATTGTAATTATTTTCTATTTGGAACGAGGGCTAAACTAAAATCACTTATTGCATTGTACAGTGCTGAATTAGGTAGCATGATTCATACACATTTACTAGTTTCACACTAAAAACATCTTTATGTTAGTCACTTGTGGATAAGCCAGGGAAGGTGATATGTCAAACCTTTGGTGGATGTAAACAATTGTTTCAAATTCTTAAATTAATACTTTCATTCTTAAATCAGTAAACCAATGAGGAGCCAGGAAACTTAGGAATTCAAATACATTTTTTTAAATAGACACTTCTTATTAAGCCTACAGTGGATCTGGCTGAAAAAAAGAGGGGAAACCCATAAATATTTTGTTTTTTCCCCAAAAAAAATTTGGTGAAAAAGCATGTTTATATTTCAGAATTTGAAATATTATTGGCCAACTCCCAGTTTTATTTATAGGTGTTTTATACCTGTCAAAGTTGGAGTTAAAAAGCTTTTAAAATAGTAAACTTCTATGATAAAATAAATATTATATATAAATCAGTAATGAACATAGTGACAGTTTTTCTGGAATAAAGTACACATGAATATAAAGATAAACAAAAATTCCAGATTAACTCCACATGTGGTCCTTCTTATTCTAGAAGAAAAGTACCTTTTTCCAAATGAAACTTAATGGCTATCAAGAGAGTTTATTCATGCATTAAGCTAATCTAGAAAAAAGGCCCTCATTTTGGAATAAGAGTGTTTGTAGGTGGAGCTAATCTGGAATAGTTCATTGAGAACAATACTGTATGTAGACAAAACTTGAGTTTCTTTTTTTTTACATTTTAAAGCAAAATATGAGAATAGGATAAATTAGAATCATTCTTAATTAGAACAGGATACATTAGATTTAGAATCATTCTAATTTATCCTATTAAGTTTTTCCAAAATGAAAATATAACAGAATAGGTATTCCCAAATATCTCCATATAAACACTTATTCTGGCATAGAAGTGTCTGCACAAGGAGCTATTCTGGAGTTATTCTCTGTTTAGACAAGTCTTAATACCTTTAATACTGCTCCAACTTTAAAGTAAAGTTAGATATAATAATGTCCACTTGAAGACTCCTTTACACTCTCCAAGTAGCAAAACTTGCCTTAGTATAAATAAAAATCAGGCCTTTTATCTGTAATTTAAGCCTATGTGCTTATCCTGTTATTGATTTGGACTCTTAAGTTTACAGGGTTTTTTTTACAAAAACTTTGTAGCTCCAACTCAGATCACAGTAACTTTTTTAAAGTTTTCTCTTTGTAAAATTAAAAATATTGGTATATTAGTGTTGTTAGTGTGTTCTCTAATATCACTGTTGTTTGAAAAACTCTTACCTGATGAAGTGGGATATGGTGGAGTAGGTGTTGTTGGCTTACAAGGTACAGGTTTTATAGCTTGAACAGTTAAATTAAAAGTAAAGTTTCCCTCCAGTGTATATGTGTGAGTTATAATAGGGCTGTTTGATACAAATAAGCCACTGCCATCTCCATAATTCCACTTGTAGGTGATAGCAGAATTATTAAGGTAGTGGCTAGGATCATGGATTTTGACATCAAATATAATAGGTGAGTCTTTGATGAAGATAAAGTCTGAGATATTGCGGTCATTCTTCTGGGAAAGGTTCACAAATAATGGAATTTGGTCTGCAGGAAAAAATTAAAGCAAGTGAAAAACTGGCTCAACTACTCTCAGACTACAAAGCTTGAAGTGTGATGCACAATCTTGTATCATATTAAGGTTTCATGTTTAATTTTTGAATCTGCACTTCTTTAACTCACTTTTTCTGTTCTGAATGGAGATGTCAATAAATACTGTGAAATGTGCAACCGGAATCCTGTGCATCTTTTGAAGGTTTCCATTGTTTATTAGAAATATTTCAGATAAGGAACAGGAAATAAACAATTAGCTTAATCTTTATTTTGAATGAATACAGTCTAGGATAGCACGAGTTAAGAGTCTTGTAGCACAGATTAAAAGGTCTGCATTTTTGCTTTATATTATTCTGGATAAATAGTTTGTTATTGGCATCATACATTACCATCCCTCTTCCTATGTTTTCACTGTTACTAGCCATTGTTGTGGGCCCATTTGCACATTTTCTTAACAAATATATTATGAGAACTTCATTCCAGACAGTATGAAGCCTAGCTCTTTCTTGATCTTAATGCTTGTTAAGCAGCAAAGTTGTAATTTAGGACTCATTTCTACAAAGTATTGTGTTTATTTTGCAGCATATTCAACTGACTCCACTGAGACTGAGGGCACTCAGAACCTTTTGGACAGACCTCAAACATCTTCCAGCAGAACTGCATCAACTTTTAAGTCCAGAGATATTTTTGAGTACTAAGGGTGGGGGGAGGGAGGGGGATAGAACCCCAACCCACACCTTGAGCTAATTCCCATTTCACTTCTACATGCCCCTGTGGTCCTTATGTAGCTGTAGAATAATGGTTTTTGGCACTTACACATGGTTTGGATTTCATGTAGCAATGTTTGCCCTGAGTTTCCCTTCTGAGCATGCTCAGTAGGCTACAGTATGGCTGTGTAGGCTTCAGGATGGAACAAAATCACCTGGTTGCATGTGTAACTCAAGGTAAGGCTTGAAACTGTAGTTGCAGAAACACCAGGACTAGCAACTATTTGACACAGTAGTAGGACAACTCTCTGACCTTTTAGCCCAATAGCCTAGTAGTTAGGGCATTTTCCCAGGGAGCAGGGAACATGTCATGGGCCGCCCTCTCACCCAGAGAGAGTTTGGACCTGCATCTCCTGCTTCCAAGCAAAGTGCCTCCAATACACTGGGCTAAGCATTGCTTAGAACACTCTAGCGGTCTTCTTGAAACTAGTCTATTGGACCACTAAGAAGGGAAGATTTGTGGGATCTCAAAAAGTAGAGCAAGCCCAAGGGAGGGTAGCTCAATCAGATGGAAGCTGTTGCCCTGGAATGGGAGGGGGCCCTGGTTTCTGGCAGCACGCTCACCTGTTACAACATAAGGAGCACTTGCTGTTGCAACTGGAACGTATGTCCGATGGCCTCTTCTGTAAACAAGCACTTCCATCAGATGTTTGCCAAGGGCAATATTAGTTGTGTTGATGAAAACAGTTGCTGAAGAGCCTGCAGTTTTTTGGTAATACTGGCCTACACAGAGACATAAATGTATAGCAGACATTTTCTTGTGACCAGTTAAAAAAAAAAAACTTTTAAGTTTACTTTCTACGGTATTTTGGATTGTCTATATCAAAGCAGAAAGTTTATTCTTATCCTCCATTTGTCAAACATACACCTTTCTAACATTTAACAGCATTTCATATCAGCATTCTGTTCAATGCCATTACTTTTTTCTGAATTTCAAGCTTCTAAAGGCATTAGAATAATGCCTCAGCTTATACTGGCCTGATAAAAAGCATGAATTAAGGTGTCTTCATCTCCCCAGTGTCACTGAATTATGTTAATAAATAATAAAAATATTAATAATGTTGCCAGCCTAAGTCAGGTTCTTTACATTTACAAAGTAGACAATAGCAAGGATGTCTTGAATTGAAGTGTCTTGAATCATTGCACATCCAGAGGATGGAAAGTTTAGAATCATGGAATCACAGAGCTGATACAGACCTCAAAGGCCATCTAATCCAATGCTCTCCATAAATGCATGCTGCATTATTCCTAAATCATCCCAGACAAATACTTAAACAGCTTCTTCTTGGAAACTTCCAGCAAAGGAGATTCAACTCCCTTAGGCAAGATTTCCTATAAATGTTGCTATACAGTACCATTAAGAAAGGATTTTTTTCCCCCCCAGAAGTTGTAGCTCTGTGCATCTACAGTCTTAAAGAACCTATCATGAAAATACCTGACTTCCAAAACCTGGAGAAGTTAGTAGAACATCTGCTCTTCCCTCAGAGCAGCTCTGAATCCCTTTGCCACTCTTTCACTCAATTCTTCTTATGGAATTCTAATGTAAGGCATTACAGAAATGAGTTAGGAAACAAGACCAAGACAAGTTTCATGGTACCAACCAAGTGTGTGAAACAAATAGACAAAGTTCCTTCTCCTCCAGCCAGGATGATGAGGGAAAGGTCTCCCATCTGGGAACACATGGTGGGTATTGTTGCTTGTACAGTTTTCCCAACCACAGTCATCAATCCATTTAGTCCAGTTGTAAACATAATCATCAAGAAAGTCTGTAGAATCTAGGTGCAGAAATTGTTACAGATCAGATTGATGTTTATGAATGTTTTTATATAAAGTTAAACTTTTTTCTGTTATTTTCCTGGTGCTAAATTCATAGCACAAATATGAACAGATTTACATTTACTCATATCTGTTGATTAATTCATTTTTACAGCAGTTCTGTGAAGGCTCTGAGGGCAATATAATTGTCTTCACTTAGAGTGGGGCAATACTGCACAGATTTCTGCATGGCTTGCCCATGGTCACACAGAAAATGGCACAGCCAGGAACAGAATGTGGATGGAGGGAGGTCAAAAGTGAGTTCCTGCAGGGAACTATTTTGTCTGGTTTAGTTCAACATTTTCATCAATGACCTGGAAATGCGGTGTGCAGTGAAATCTCCAAGTTTGTTGAGGATACTAAGTTATTCCAGGTAGTCAAATCAGGAGGCGCTACTTCACAGTCAGGGCGGCTAGGATCTGGAACCAACTTCCAAGAGAAGTGGTGCTGGCTCCTACCCTGGGGGTCTTTAAGAGAAGGTTAGACGAACACCTTGCTGGGGTCGTTTGACCGCAGTACTTTTTCCTGCCATGTCAGGGGGTCGGACTTGATGATCTGCTTATGTCCCTTCCAACCCTACCAACTATGAAATCCTAAACTGACAGAGAGGAGCTGCAAGAAGATCTTCCAGAGCTAAGTGAGTGGGCAAAAAAGTGGCAGACAAATTTCAATGTCAACAAGTGCAAAGTAATCCACATAGGGAAAAATAACCTTAATTATACATACACAATGCTGGGTTCTGAACTACCTGTTACGAGTCAGGGAAAAGACTGTGCAGTCACTGTAGGTCAGGGATTCTCAACCTTTTTCAACTCAAGGCACCCCTCTATAACTTTTCAGAATTTAGTGGCATCCCACTTAATGACTATTTTTTTTTCTTACAGGGTGCATCTACATGTGCAATTAATACAAAGCAATAAACTCTGGAGTTTATTGCTCCAGAGTTTATTGCTCCAGGGTGCACCATTTGACTGTGCACTTGGAGGCAATAAACTCCAGAACAATAAACTCCAGAGTTATTGCCATTTGAATGTGTGCCCAGGAGCGCAGCATGTTGAGCCGGTTTAGAGCAGCCTCGGCTGGCTATAGGGCCCAGGGAGGTCAGCCTGCCAACTCAGTGTTGTTCCTCCTGGCTCAACATGCTGTTGAGATGCTGGCTGGGGCAAAAGGATGCTTCAGTGCGGGGCTACCCAGCAAGCTGGCCCCACACTGAACCACCCTTGTGCCCCAGCCAGCCACCACAGCATCTACATGTGTGCTGTTGCAGAGTGTTTTACTCTGCAGAAGGATAGTACTGTATTTACTATTTGCAAGTACTATCCTGCTGTGGAGTAAATTAGTTTAGGGCAGACTAATGAGGGTACACATGTAGATGCTGAGACATTTACTGCACAGCTAATTAGTCTGCTGTGCAGTAAATGTCTCTTGTAGATGCGCCCACACAATTTAACTTCTTGTGCTCCATGGCACTATTAGAAGGATCTAATAGGGTGGTAAGGCAGTCAGGGCACCTCTGAAAGCATGGCAGGGAATGGTGCACACTGAGTAGGGCTGGCAAGGGCTGCAAAGCAGGGCAGATTGGGGAGTTAGGGGTGGGTCATTATAACCTTGAAGAAGGCAGCTGTCCCTGCAGATGGTAAAAAAGGCATGACAGCAGCTGCTGGAACAGAGGCTGGTGCCAAGTGAGGGTGGCAGGTGGAAGGACCCTGCCTTGCCCTTCCTTTCCATTGTCTGCCCTCTCCCTGCCTTTACCCAAGCAGGTGAGCATAGTGCCTGCCACTCCCACTGCTCCTCCAGGGATTTGAATGTCAGTGACCAGCACCACCATTCCCTAGGGCTCCTCTGACCAGGTTTGGGAGCATGAGATCAGGAGCGAATGACCTATGCTGAGAAAGCCTGGTCCCGTGTCTACCTGCTTACACGTGGCAGGGCACATTGCTCAGTTTGGGGTGGTTGGCACAGGGGCTGCCAGGGAGGTGGGGGGCTGTGCTTTTCAGCTTAGCTTATTTCCCTGTTACTCCTGTGCTCCCGGAGCTGTTGGGTGGGGTCACAGGGAATGGTGTAAGGAAGCTGGGGCTGGCACAGGGCGCCTGGCATGTGGAGGAGATAGTGCTTACTTCCTTTCACAGGAGCTGGGTGCAATGGCACTCTCCAAAGGATCTTTCAGCATCCCAAGGTGCCGTAGCACCCAGGTTAAGAATCACTGTTGTAGGCAGTTCTTTAAAAAAGCATCAGCTCAGTGCAGTGGCAGCTACAAAAGCTACTGATGTTGGGCATCATTAACAAGGGGATGGAAAACAAAACAGAAAATATCATTATGTCACCACAAATCCATGGTGTCCCCCATCTTGAATACTGTGTGCAGTTCTGGCCTCCGCATCTCAAAAAGGACATAGTAGAATTAGAAAAGGTACAGAGAAGGGCAACCAAGATGATGAGGGGTATGGAGCTGCTTCTTTATCAGAAGAAACTAAAAAGGCCAGGACTCTAGTTTGGAAAGGAGAAGGCTGAGGGGATTTGATAAAGGTCTATAAAATCATGATGGTAAATAACAGTTCCATAGTCATTTTGCCAAGTCCCAGGATACTAGAACTAGGAGGGCAGCTGCTGAAATTAGCAGGAGACAGGTTTAAAGCTAACAGAGAAAACACTTTTGCATGCAGTGTGTGGTTAACTTGTCAAACTCATTGCCACAGGATGTTACAGAAGCAGATAATATAGCCAGTTTCAAAAGACAGTAGACAAATTTATGAACGACAGATTTATTAATAGCTATTAAACAGAAACAGTCAGGAGTGTATCCTCTAACATCTCTAAATTAGTTATAATGGGTGCCAGGGAGGGTATGATGGAATAATTCACTCTAGATAACCCTATTCCTATGCTGTCCCACTAAAGCCTCAACTACTGCCACTACCAAACAGGATACTGGGCTAGATGGTGCATTGGTCTGACCCAGTATGACACTTTGAATTTTCCTGTATTCTTATACAAACTCATCCTGTGCATCTATTAGATATTATTGAAATTGTCTTGAATACTGTACATAAGCAAATCATATGGGTGAGATACGTAAAGATGCGTGAACCACCTGTTTATGGTGTATCATAAAAGGCCAAAGGCAAAGACTAATTCTGGTTGCAGTGTGGTTAGTGTGTAATTTCCTAGTGCTAACAGGTATTATCAGGTCCAGAGCACTTACATTAGCAAAGTGCTGAAATTATCCATTTAAACTACATTATTGCCTTTTGGTCTTTAAAAAAAAATATGAACAGAATGGGTAACTGAACAGTATTTCTGATTTACAAATTTACTACATCCCAATTCCTCTGTTTTTTCAGATTACAACTCCAGCTTTTTTCTGCTTGGTCTGTTCTCATTGAGATAAGAAATTGTAATCATTTTCAATAATTTTACTCTAATACTGTCGACCAAAGCCTCCTGTCTCATTGAAGTCTGTGGGGTTGCAGCCTCATTCTGGAGGCAGATCTTGGCATAATGGAAGTTATAGCTAATTGAAAAATGTAGTTTGTTTCCTTTGTCAGATAGCTTCCATTGCACTTATTTCCAAATAATCTATAATCATCATTAGAATTAAAACAACATATTTTCTCACTGGTAAAGCACAACATTTATAACTATAGAAAGTATTTAATGAGTTACAGTGAAGTGATATAAAGTAAGTTATGGTGATATAAGACTATTTTCTGATATCCTTTTAAATTAAAATTAGTCTGATCAGGGGAAAGATTTACCTTTTTAATATGGAAAATTCTCTCAATTTGCTGCCACTTCAGTCTCAGCTTATGTATATATATTTTTAATTCTGCTTGTTTTACCTTTGGAATATTAGGAAGGTAAGAGAATAAATAATAGTTTAGTGAGCTCAGAAATCCTGAAGTGAAGAATCTCAGTTGGATAAAGTGGGTTAGAAGGACCTCTGCGTTGGCTGTATCATGCCAATATTAAGTCCAGTGACTGGGCTGGGCTGTGCAGTAACAAGTTTTCTGAGTCATGTTCTAACAGCTTGAAGAATTCATTAGCAATATCATAGGCAGGTGTGTTCTCAGTACATGAGTACTGTTGTTACTTACCATTCTTGCAGTTCCTGTCATATATTATGTTGCTATCATTGTCTTCTTTTTGGCAGCTGGGAAACTCTAGGATCACAGCAAAGGACACATTTGAGCCCACTAGAGCTGGGCTGTCAGTGGTCAATCTGGCTACCACTCTTCCTCCTGAAGAAATTAAAATTAGACTTCAATGATACAGGGGTCCCTTCTAAGAAGCCATATCCCAAGAGGTATTTTGATGCCTGAACTCCTATTAAAAATCAATTTAACAAACTGAAATAAAATATATTTCAATTATAGTTTAGGCACCTAAATACCTCTTTGATCTGTGCATAATTTGAATAAACAATGTTAAATATTAATCACATTAAAACTGTGCAAAAATCAGAGCCAAGAGATATCCAGAAGTAGTTCCACTATTGTAGCTCTATTGGCTCCAATTACCTGTCTATACTTGCTAAGGGCAAGTTGAATTTCTATAACTTCTTATAATATGATATATTTAATTGAAGTAATCCTTCTGAAAATAATCTTTCCCATGTCATTTAACCAACTGCGATGCCCTTAAAATCTAACAAGATTATCAAAGAGAGGAGACATTTTGTTTAAACAGTTTCAGAGAGACCCATTGACTTAAATTAAGTGCCTTCTACAATAATAGAAGCAGTGGTCTTGATATTACTCTTTTAAAATTATTTGATTTATATGCCACCATTCCCAGAAAGGGCTCAGGGCAACATACAGTATAAGACAAAATAACTTATAAAAACAGAACAAAAATAGTAAAATATGAACTGAGGCTAAGCCAGTGATTCTCAATCTTTAAATTTAGACTCAAGGTATCCCTCAGAAAAGGGCAGCTCTCAGTTTTCACTCATTCTTTGACTATGGAAACACATCAGAACAATTATTCTGTTACCAAGAACTCAGAATGACCGCAAAAGGTTAGAATGTTGTTAATGTTCTGGAACCCCGTTGGAAATCTTTTAGTTTCTTTTTGAATCATATTTGCAAACTAACAGTGCTAATAGTGGATGGCACCCCACAACACCATTGACAGGGTCTCAAGGAACCCCAGGGTGCCATGGTACCTTGACTGAGAATCACTGGGTAAAGCAATAGTTAAGCACATACTGTAACACTGCTTCAGACAATGTATGGCAATCTGGACCCAACTGTTTACTGCTTTGGGATATATACATTCTGAAAGGCACTGTCCATAACATTATATTCTATTTGATTTTTTTTAGGCTACATTTCCCAGAACACTACTATTCCACATCTAGATCTACCTCTCCAGCAGTCATTCCATCTGGGATCTCCTTCTTCCCAAGATGGATAACGTTTTTCATTCCAGTTGTTTTGATCAGGAGACCAGCCATGCAGCTTCTTATGGTACCTGACATGTGAAGAAGTTTTTCCATGGCTCAGCACATCTCGAAACTCTGGACAGAAAAATGAACAAAATATGAATGTTTTCTTTGCCTTCATTTTAAAATATTCATGCACTGAATGCCAAAACCTTCACTGACATGAATGTAGAGAACTTTATCATTGTAAATAAAGCTCGTGTCTTTCAGTCTATCAATAATAAACTCTTCTGAGACTTTCCTTTCTTTAGGGTATGTGCAAGTTATATGAGTATCAAAAGGCACTTGAAGAAATAGCAGCATATGGGCAAAATTTTAGCCCTTCAGTAGCTCCTTTCCTTCTCAGAACTACCTGAAAAATCTTCTCAGTGGATTGTAAACCAAAAGCTACATCGCAAAAGCTGATTTGAAAAATGTGGAATGATACTGTGAACTCTTAGCCCTGATTGTTCAAAGAATTCAAGCAGCTGAACCCTATCCCTCTTAATAGCAAAATGACTCTATATAAGCAGTTCATTGTGGAATCAGAACTTACTAATGGGGAAACACCTCAGGTACAAAGGACATTCAGCAGAAAAAGTCCAACATTTCTTATTATGAACATAAATATGATACATACATACACTTCTCTCTGCTAGTTTTAGAAAGAGCTAAAACACACTCCCTCTTTTCTCTCCACTAAAGCTTGAAGGGGGAATGGGGTGGCAAGGAGATGTTTGCATCCCACAGTTTTAAAATTGACATTTTTTTTTAGTTGCTATGTTGTATTCTAATATTATAAAAGCCTACTTCTATCTGTCTGTCCATAACGCTTTATCCGTGCTCTGATTGGCTGACAAAAAGCCAATACGAGTGCGAACAAACATTCAAACAGGAGCTGGTGACGAACTGGAGCACCGCCATGATGGCAGTAACACAGGGGATGGAGGGGGGAGGGCGAGGCCTAACCTTAACCCTAACCCTAACCCCCGCCCTGCTCCCTGGAGGTGGGGGCAACAGAGTGGACAGAACAGGGGTGGGGCAAGGCCTTGCCCCCCTTGCTGTGCTCCCTGCAGGTGGCAATGATGGAGTGGAGCAGGGGGCAAGACCACTGGAGCTGGCCTCGCCCCTCCCCTCCACTCCTTGCCAGTGATGGCGGTGTTGGCACGGGCGGGGGGGGAAGCAAGACCACAGCTCTGGCCTTGGCCCGCTCCTTCCCGCTTCCATTATCGCTGCCTGCAGGGCCCGATACGGGATGACCTGGCGGTGGTGAGAGGAGGAGCAGGCCCAATGCGGGTTGGGAGAATAGTGGGCACACTGCAGCAGCAGCGGTGGTGGTGGTGGGGGGAGGGGAGGAGTGGGCCTGGGCCCCACATGGTGGGGGAGGAGGACTGAGCCCAAGCCATGGGAAAAGCCGGCCTGTTACGGTGTGGGGAGCAGTGGGCCTGGGCCAACCCGGAGGAAGCAGGGGAATGGGAGAAGCAGGCTCGGAGCCGATGTGGGGGGTAAGAGAGGATGAGGGAGGAGTAGGCCTGGGCCCAAGCAGGGAGGAGGCTTGCAGCTGCCCTCCCCCAGCCACTGCTGTGTCGGGCAGGGCCTGCTGCTCCCCACCACCACTCCAGTGGGCCAGCTTCTTCCTCAGCTTGGGCTCAGGCCTCCTCCCCTCCTTGGGCCCAGCCCCACTGCTCCCTCCTCCCCCCATCAGCTCCAAGCCCGCTCCTCCTGTTCCCTGACTGTCGCCGGGTTGGCCCAGGCCCGCTGCTCCCCCTGCTGCGGCGGGGGCGCCTCTTCCCCCCCCCCGGGCCACGCCCCCGTGCCACTGCAGCAGGGATGGGGGGAGTGGGCCTGGACCCAAGCAGCAAGAGTTAAAGGGCAAGCAGGTCTGGACGGTGGGGTGGGGAGGGCACGGGGCTCCCCCACCCCCCATCATTCCTGATGGGCAATTGGCTAGTTTTCTAATAAAGATGAATTAAAGAAAGTTTTACAGGCATTTTTACCATACTGAAGAAGGCAGGACAGGGACCCTAGAGACTAACTGGTTCAGAGAGATAGCTAACTACCTCTCTCTACTGTATTGAAGAAATTATACATGCAGTAGGACATACCAATGGAATTATGGGGTTGGTTTACTTTATAAAAAAAGTGGATCTGTTCATGCTTGGAATGCTTAAGTAGCTATGTCCAGAGTGACAATAGGCTAAATTCATTCTAAATATAACTGCTCTGAGTACAACAGGACTAAGTACAGAAAGTCAAAAAGCCCAAGACTGAATCAATTCAATCTTTGCAGGTTAGTCTAAGCTTGTAGATTCAACCAATAAGCAAGTGAACAGACATGCCCTTTTGATTCTGAAAATGCAGCCACCTGCCTGCAGTGGTCCAGACCAGAAGCCAGGGTGCACTAAAGCACAGCTCCCTGCTTGGCTGAAGCAGAAAGCTTGGGCCAAGGCTAGTGCACCCACCATGTGAAGGGGCATTTGTGGGAGAGATGCAAAGCATCATGGGATGTTAGGGGACTGTGAGTTAACTTGAATCTGGAGGGGATCTGGGACAGAAGTTCAATAAACTAATTTAACCTAAAACAGTTAAGTCTGATACTACATCCATCAAGGTTTACCTTAAACTGGTTTCAGCCATTTTAAAAGCAATTTATGTGCACTGAACTTCTGGCATTTTACAGAGTTCAACCAGTTTGTGATCACTTCTACTGGTTTATGTGTAATTTCTGTCCCTTGCCTGAAAGTACCGTACACCCATGACCGAACATGAGTACACAGCTGCAAAGTACTTTAAAAGGTCCCTATCCCATGACACTCTGAACATTCATTACATGAAGGTTTAGATGAAGGCGCTCCTAAGCAGAGCACCTTTGCTAACTTGTGTATGCACATGCCAGGAGCAGGGCTGGGCTGACATACACTTTTCAAGTAGTTCTGAGAAGGAATGCATGAGCTACCAAAGGGCTAAAGTCTTGGCCCTTATACTGCTATTTCTTCAAATACTGTATGCAGAACGGGAGGCAGGGTATGGGGAAAGGAGTGGAGGGAACTCATTCTGGGTGATGCCCGGCTGGCGCTGGAGGCTGGGGTGGGTAGATTGAAGCCCGCTGAGGTAGTGGGCTCCAATCCACACCCACCAGCGCAGGCAGGAGAAACCCCAGAATGGACCTCCTTCCCCTCCCTCTCCAGCTAATGTCTGGTGGGTCAGGAGGATCAGTCTAACTCATGGCACTTTCTGTAAAATGCCATGAGTTAGACCAGGGAGCTGCACTTCTGTCTGCACCTTTTATGTGTAATTTTTGTCCCATTACCCCAGGAATAATGTTGCCCTTTCACTTGTGGGCTGACGGTATGTAAAAAAGTGCTTGAATTGGTCATTAAGACAGCTAGTGTTTTTGGGAAAGGATTTAATTCATAAAACAATTATAATTATAAAGTCAAATTATTTATATTTCAAAAGTTACACACACACACCCTCTCCCCTTGGAACACCTGCTCTTTTAAAATGATCAAGGTGAATGCAGCTTATAAACACTGTCTTTTCATATTCTTCCTGCTG